GGTGTTTCAGGTCGCCGTGTCTCCACGGGTCTGCGCTGCAGCGTGAAATCCTAGAAATGGGTGCCTTCGCCTCGGTCCAGCCCTGTGGAGGCAGCTTAAAAACGTGCTACAGCGCCCTGGGGGTTCCCCGACATCGATGCCCGGGTTGTAGGGCAAACATTTTTAAGAATTAGAAAAGCCATAGGTAAGTTAGGAATAGAGGAGTGCCGAGAGTCACGTTTGGAAATTACGCACTGAGGGTAGTTTGGAAATTACTTGTTAGGTGGTTTTATGCTTATAAATTGAGAATGTGAAGGGTTAAGGGGTTAAAGTCTCCATTCTGACTTGCTTGAATACATGAGTATCAGCTGATGCTGTTTTGACAATTTCAACTCTTGTCGGTGTTGGTCTGAGGCGGTTGTTGAACAAAGGAGGAAGAGGTTTAGACTTTGTAAGAAAGGTGCAAGGTCGCTATGCCAAACCATCTCATGGGAGCAGAGACACGTTCTGTCCTCCCTTCCACCCTTTTTGAGAAGGACAGGAGATTTCTGGAGAGTGTACGAACATATATATTGACAGAAACTGAGAAAGCGGGTTGTGCTGAGCAAGGATCATCTGAGGAGTGTTACATTATCTACAGTAATGCGTTTGACATGCAAAATATTTCTCAGGTAAATGAGCAACGAACAATAATTAATCAGTGGTTTGCTGTTGCTTTGCCTTCTGGGGAAAAAGGGTATAAGCAGACCAATTGTGACCTGCTGGTGTAGTTACAGAAATCAAGAATTGGTATATTTTCAGGTGGGTTTTGTGCCCCTGTATACACTGCCGTCAAATAGAAGCCATTACAATGAATTCATACTACCAGAAGTTACGGTAGGGTTCGTGCTTGCTAACCACTTTTCTTAACTTTTGGGGAGTTTTGAAATGATAAAGCATTTTAAAGCTGTCCTAAAACAGGAAAAAGTCTACATGATTAAAAAGATCCATGATATACATCTGCTATGCCCAGTATTAGCATTATACACAGCCCCTGCTCCTTTGCTTTTCCACACCTGTAAATGCTAAGGATGTTTAGCGTTCATCTGGAGAAAGTATCTTTTATTACATGGCAATTGTTGCTGCAGCTGTCCAAAGAAGTGCGGATAGCCTTAGTTTTAATAATATCTGTGATTACCATTACTTGGTTTTGGGGCTTTTTTTTTAATTATATTAGAGCAGTGCTACGGAGCTTGCTCTGAGGAGTATTATTTTGTCTATTCATTTGATTTTAAACCTATCATGCTTATTAGAAAGTTCCAGAAAGTTGTTTTTCTGTTAATTCTCTCCGTATAAATATTGCATCCAAAAATACATTCACACATAATACAGTACGTTACTGCCTACAAGAATATCCTGACTTCAATCAGACAGGTATATAAGGCGTTTATTGCCAAATTCAAGAATGGCCAAAGGAATGCGATTATTTTTTCTTCATGGGAGATTAAAAGCTCTGGAATCTGAGTCCACAACTCTGTTATACTATAGAAAAAGAGCAATGGATCTTGAAGACAAGTAAATTATCTCTAATAATGTTTAAAGCAAAATATGTTGTTTTAATTAGGACATGAATAAATTAGTTGTTGCTGGCTTATCTCATTTATATCTTTTAAATGTTTTGATTCTTCTTTTATTTTTATATGGAAGCTGCTAATGGTTGTGTAGAACTTTGCTAACATACGGTGTTAGATTTCTGCTCTGCACATCCTGGTGCTGATTCTTATACAGTCAAACTTGAGGTGTAATCAGTAAAGGCTTTGCCTGCAGAAAAACTGGAGGATCAGGCTCAGAAGTTAAACACACACAGATTCTCTCCGCCTGTAAAAAGAGTATAGCCTCAAAGTGAGGCTATTGCATTGTGTAAATGCACTGTCTGAGGTTAAGAAATATGGAAAAATAGCTGAATTGCTCCCTTTTTCTCATTTACCGTCTGACATTGAGGAAGTATTGTTATGTAGCTGCATGTACGTAGCAGGATTCTCAACAGAGTCAGTTATCTTGCCATATGCATTCTGAAGTAGAATAATACAGGAAACTGGGGGGACAGGCTTTACTAAGAACAGCAGAACAGTATGACAGCAAGGCTACTCCAGCAACTTTCAGTACTGATATCCTTGCAACCCAATGAATAAAAAGAATGAAGTAACAGTTCCTGCTTTTTTTGTTGTTGTTGTTGGTTTGGGGTTTTTTTGTGTGTGTGTGGTTTTTCTTTTTTCTCTCCAAAATGAAAACTATTCAGAAGAATTCTGCAAAAATTAAAAATGTAATATTGGAAATTCATAACATAAGAAAGGTACCCTTGGAAACCTTTGACACCCCAGAGAAAACAGCACATCCTCTTATTGTCAGGTTATAAAAAAAAATAAAATGTCTTCATATAAATGTATCAGTTGATAAAGTTTGTGGTTGGTTGGTGTGTTTTTTTAAATGCTTTAACACTTTTAATTCTGATTTGCTTGTTGAGATAGTAATGTAGTTATCCTACACTGCCATATTTTATATTTCAGCTCTTGATGTCCCTAGTAAAATGGCTGAAGATTCACTTGAATATTTTGAAAGGTAAGAATAACATGGTTGTTGTGCTCTGCATTAGCAGTTTGCAGTATCATAGGTACTGTATCATACTGAATGCAGTCCTTCCAGGACATGTTCTTTTTGTGACCCTTTTGGTGTTCGTAAAAAGTGCTGGCGTGGCAGCCATGCACATTAAGTCAATTGCTTATCCATTTTCAGAGGTTCTTCTTTAGCCCTTTTCCTAAAGGGACTGAAATGGAAGAGACCAGCTGTTGAGGTGTTTCTGATTTGCTTATTTCTGTGTGTTGTGAAAACTGATAAGCTAATCTTAAATATGTTTCTATGCATACAGATGAAAATGTACAACTTGAGGGTTTTTCAAAAGTGTCCAGATGCCTGGAGGAAATTGGACATTAGATGCTTTTGAAAATCCCAGTAATGCAGCTGTCTCTACTTCTAGGTGCCTAGATCTCATTGCTAATATAATCCCTTGACATTAAGAATAGGAATTAGTTCATCAACTCATCTCATATACCCTGCTGTGTAACTGTTACGTAGAAATAACCCTCTCCTGTTTCTGGCCACTGGTTAATTGAATTAGTCCTTCCCAAATCACAGTCTTTTACAAGACATATATTAAAATATAGTTAATTTCTCTTTCCAGTTCATCCAGGATAACTGCCTCCTAGGTATCTCGAAGTCTTCATTATGGACACTCTCAAAAGCACTAGGTAGTAAGGCAGAAGAGATGTAACTGGCTGTGTGGAAACAAAATTGCTGCTTCATCCTGGAAAACAGCGTGAATATGTACTAGGTTTAATTAATGCATATTTTAAAGCTGTGTATTCTCAGTGTTTGGGCTTCTTGACTACATTGCTGTACCATAAGCCAACCATTTTATGTATGTATATGTGTATTTATTTAGTGTTTGTGTAACATATAATGTTCTGTATTTTTTTCTTCCTCTTTCATAGTTTCAGTGAATTACTTTCAAGTGGTCAGTATGATGCTGCAGCAGCGTACACAGTAAACTCTCCTAGGGGGAATTGTCTGTAGTGAAGAAGACCTGAAGTATCTTAAATGTAAGAATTTGTTAATTGTGTCCTTTCTTACAGGATTTTAGTTGATGTCAGTCTAGTCATTTCAGTGCTTAGGAGTTTGGGATTTATCAAACAAGAATTGTTTGTGTGGGTTTGAAGCTTATATTCCAAATTGAAGATAAGAAAAGCTGTAAGGCTTTATTTTTTTTTTTTTCCTCCTTTGTTCTACGTTAAGGACATGCCCTAAGAGGCAGAGAGGGAGGTAGCTAACTCACAACCATTGCTTTTCATATTGTTGGTGAGGTATTGGGGTAAGCAGTGATCTTAAGGGCTAGTAAAAAGCTGTTCCTAATGCAATGCTGAAACTGTTTTATTTCTATGGATAAATTATGTGCAGTAGACAAAAGCAGAAGTCTGCTAGTTTGAAAGTCCAGTCTTTATTGTTATGGGTGTTAATTACTCAAGCTTAGTCTTTTGGGTCATAAAGCAGTAGTCTAGTTAGCTTCATTAAAATTAGTTTCTGAAATCTGAAGTATATAAAACCTATTGATGATTTTAAATATCC